CTGCAAGAGCCTGTTCACGGAATCGTCCTTGCCGTAGCCCTTCAGCAGCGCGTGTTTTGCTGGCTCGTTGTCTACGAAGAGGAGCGTGTGTTTCGGGAGTTCGTTCCGTAGGGCGAGAAGAGGGATCATCTGAGCTACGATCTCTAACATGTAGATGTAAGCTCGCTTGGACACAAAATGCCTCGTGAACCACATTGGAATCTTCCCTGCCGCGAACACTGTTCTCCCATCAAGGCGTGCCACAAAGCCCCAACCGTTCGCGAAGCTCGCAGGCGAGGTCTGGCCCCAATTGGGCACATTGTCAACTACAAACTTCCTGGAGGCGATTGGGGCGGCGGTGGGTTCAAAAGAAATCCTGCGGCTAACCTACCTGGATCTAGCACTATCTAGCTCTAAGCTCTGGGCAGAGCCGGAGCCACAAGCTGCCACTATACAAATGCTTCGCACACTTATGGTACATTATGACACGAGACGCTTCAGGTGCTGCGCTTCGCTCCGCACTGTCCAGCTTCCCGGCCAAAGATGCTGCTTCATGCGGCAGCAACCGCTTCTCCAAGAGGATCGTTTTAAGCTGTGCATCTAGTCGCGCAATTCTGCCGGCCGTAGGCCGAATCTCGGCCTTCCTGCTGCAAACTCAGTGACACACCTTGGATGACCTGGTTCTGATCAGGCGGCTGCTTCTTTGATGTTTTAAAACGCAGGCCAAGGCAAGCACAAGTGCTCTGCACGCTCTCAAACCCAGACACGGCCACGTCCATGGTCTCCGACGCGCCAAAATCATCCACGAAATGCAAGGTGGGCGACAGCAGCAGGCAACGTGTCAACCATGTCATGAAGTCCGCAACCCGACAGTAGCTCCACACGCTGGCTGTGCTTCCAAAGAGCAACACATTGTGCTTCCACAAGGTGGGTCCAGAAGGTGTCTGAAGGATCACGAAACGAAAGTGTGCGCGGGCTCCTTGGCGGGCAGCTGTCGGTAAGCGGCCTCGTGATCAAGGCCCCACGTCTGCAACACAGCACTCTCCTCCACACTGCGAAGTCCTCTTGCAACCTGAACAAAGGCAGAAATGTCATGGTACGCTGGACTATCCCACGCTCCCACAGTTGCATTGGCCCCAGATCGCCGCCAGTCCTCAGCCCTTCTTACTTTCGGCTGGCCATCGGACCCAACCTGGTTCACTGCAGCAAAGGCAAACGAACAAGGCACCGGTCCCTCGGGCGCTGGCAGGAGTTCGGCAGTGTGAGCAAACAACGCAAGCGGGACCGTCTTCTTTGACCAGTGCGCAGGCGCTGCAAAGGGCCCTTCCATCCTGCCTAACTTCACGTCCTTGGCGATTTCCTCCGCCATGGTTTTCCACTCTGGGTCGACTTTGCACTTCTGAAGCTTGTCTCGCACAAACTTGTCATTCTCGCGGAAGAACTGGTCGACCGGCATGGGATGAGAGTACCGGCCGTCGCTGCGAAGCCGCCAGCCCACCCCCGGTCTAATGCGGCCAAGAAGCGGGAACCCCTCTGACATCTCTCTGAACATGTCCATGTCGGGCCAACCGAGCTCGTTGGCCAATGCCTGCAGCACCGGGAGCTGCATAGCAATGCGCCCGTCTTCAGTCGTGCACGCCTTCTGCACATGCGGCGCCAATCCCTGGAACCACAGTCGCGTTTCCTCCTCCGCCTCCTCGACTCGCAGCTGAGCGGCCTCTTGAACTGCGATTCGCAACTCCCGGAGTTGCGATCGCCACTGCTGCCACATGGGGAGCCACTGCCGAAGGCCCGGCTCCAAACGAGGCGCTAGCTGATGTGAATGCTTTACGATCTTCGACGCCTCCCAATGCTCTGCTGGGTCAATGATCTGAGACAAGTCCAACACTTCGTCAAAGACAGGAACTCCAGGGCCATTCAAGAGCGGGGCCGCTCGCCACAGTGTTGCCATTCCAGCGACTGCGTCCGGCCCAAGCGGATTTGGACCCCTCGTCGGTGAAGGTGACGTCAACGCTGTCAAAGCTCTACTTGCAGAGGAAGTGTGAACACGCGCAGCAAACAAGCTCAAGATGAAGAACCACTTGGCTACTCCAACATGCCAACCGTTCGCCAAAGCACGATGACGCTGATGGTCCGACAAAGCCCTTGTCCACCCCTTCGGGAGGTGGTGACATTGTTCCTTGATGTCGGCTGTTGCAAGCACGTAGCGCCCACGACAGTCTCGCCACATGTTGCCCTTCTCGTAGTGCCACGGCGCGTATTGTCTGTTGTCCTCCAACCACCGAGTCTGCGTATCTGTATCCACCCGGCCTTTGCAGGACCTGGGGGCTTTGCGACCTGCAGGGTCGTCCGCCGGCGTTGTCAAACACGGTAGAACTTCGACGCCCTCCACGACGTTGCTTGGCCAACTCAGCTCGCCCACGTCATAGTCCTCACACTTGTCTTTGGGCTGCACAAAAGTGATTCTGGGGAGGCTCTGGTAGACGGTCCACTGCAGAGGAACTGGGCAATCCGATTGATTCGATAGTTCCTGCCAAGGGAAGCGAGTCCACCACACTCGCGGTCTTGCGATGATGCCCAAGTCAGCAGCATCTGAGACCACTGCTGGCGCTGAGAGCTGTTGTTCGAACAAGCGCACGTCCTGCTTGCTGGCGGGCACGACATTCTCGACGACGAGCAAGGCTTGCGGATAGTCCCAAGTCTTTTCCAGCTCCTTCACGAACTCGGCGAAGCGAAGGAACTTTGACCCTTCTTCTCCTTCGGTGCCAGGAGCCATCGCGCGAATCCGACTATGATCATGGCAAGGAGGACCAGCTGCTATTATCACAGTCGCCGCAGAACTGGGGTCGATGGCTTTTAGCCGGTCAATCAAGCGACGGGGGGTGTCCCTCTCGAAGTCACCGCGGTGCTCTACGTCGTAGCTAAGCAATGGCTCCTGTCCTGTGAGCCGCGCTTAGCTGCAGCATTCCGCTCAACTTCATGTCACTACGTACACTTCGTGCACTTCACAACACTTGCCTACCCCGTCATCTGCTTTTTTCACTGCTGCGCAACCAATCCACGGCTGCTGCTGCAGCAGCCTCCGTACATCGTCCCCAATCATGGCACCCGTGCGCCGACACGCACTCGGCATCAAACGCAGAGCTTCGAAGGCACCACACAAACACACACTGCACGCCTATTTTCAGAGATCTTCCCTGTACTTTCAACAAACCAAACCCCAGCCCTGCCCACCGAGGCACTCTTTGACATGTTTGCTGAATGGTGGTCGGTAGTCCAGAGCACAAAGCCTAGACAATTCCACTACAACAATTAGGGAGGCGCACGCGTCCCCCTGGTACCTGACAGACTCGCCAGGTCTAGTCGCACATGTTCCCCCCCGTGGCCTCATTTAACGTCTTCCCATTGAGCGCCCTCGAAAGAACCGCCCAACGCCTATGTCCTTGCATGCGAGTCGGGTGACACGACTTCGAAGAGCGATGATCACCATGGGGAGTGTAAACACTGTGCAGCACAAGCCCATGCTCCGGATCAATGCGAAACTATTAACAGTAGATGCAACTGCATATGTGCAGTATGATCACACGTTGCATGGAAAGGATGTCAGGAAGCCAAAGTCCGACTGACAGAGCCCCTCTCTTGTGAAACGCAACTGGGATGCATGGCTCAGAACAGAAACCATGAAAAGCACATGTTCCCCCCCGTGGCCTCATTTTCGAGGGATGTGGAGGGCGGGAAATCGAAAATGGGCCGAAGTCACACTAAGCCGTGCCCGACCAATCGATGTCAATGTGACGTTTGCATTGAACATAACAAGCAACCATGTCTAGCCCACAAAACACACTAGCTCTGCGAGCCCAGCTGCTGCCATGCACGCGCATCGACTCAAAACACTTCAACTTCAACAAACTGCAGTACGCTCAGATCTCACTTAGATGCACGCAGGCGTGCACCCCGCATGAGTTAAGCCACATGGGGCCAAGTCAGGGACTCTTACACAGACAAGAAGCAAGCGGACTGCAACCTTCACTTATTTTGCGCCACGGCGCAAGGAGGTCTTGTCACGTTGGTAAGGGGAAGAGACAGTCCAGCCCGAGCGAAGCTATGTAAGGCAACATACGGCCCTACATTAGCAGGCCCTGTTACAAGGTCGCAACGCAAACCTAAACCCCCGTCTCACAACCAAGGTTTTCTGTGTTGGTGTGGAGGGAGGGAAACAGCAAACTTGGAGCACCCATGCTGTGAAACGGGATTTCTTCTGTCTCTAGTCTCGACATGTACAAACTACCCACCCTCCAGCCCATAGACGCCGTGACACTTCTAAGACGCAAGTGCGCACACGCCCTTTTGTTCGTGGGATGCGCAAATGCCGAAGGTTCGGTTCGGTCCACCTGAGCTTCTGCCGCTTGGCATTCGGCAGAGGCACTTTAGCCTCCTTGGACGTCTTAGCGAGCTTCACGTCAGCATCCAGCTCCTGAGCTGCCGACATAAGACTGTCCAGGACAAGGAACGGCAGCTTCTCGAACTGCACTTCCACACGACGAGCCGGGTTGAAATCTGCGAAACATTCGTTGGTGAGCGCGTCAGCTTCACGATTCTGATCGCGCGGCACCCATCCCAGCTGCAGGTGCATGTCCATCCGGCCTAGCTGTGCCGACAGCTCCATCAGCACAACCGACAGTGGGAAGGTGCTTGCCATGAACTTTTCCAGCACATAGGAGTTTCCTAGGTTGTCCGTAATGGCCGGCAACCATAGCTGCCCGCGTCTGTGGCACCAGCGGCCTCCTTGACCAAAGGTCATCACGGCAACCAAGACCGCCACCAATTCTAGGGATCCTAACGCGCTCCAGCAAACACGCAAGCACAACCAGCTTAAGGACACGAGTAACCCAGAACAGGCACTCCGCTCTCTTTTTCTTCCCGGTGTGGACTTGAAGATCCAGGCTCAAGACTGGCATCAGCTCGACGGCTGACAAAGAACATCAGCTGCTGCTGACAAAAGACTGCCCCCCTCCCTGCAATCACAGGGCGGGCGGGTGGGAAAACAAGAACACTCCAGCAAGCCTGCTGTGAGCACCTGGGGGGCAACCTCCCCAACAATTGACATCCCAAGCACAACCTTGAGACAGTACTACCCGAACAAGCAAGTTCCAAGTGCACCGGACATGCAACACAGCATGAAGCAACGAAGCACACCTCAAGACATGCACAGCGCTCACGGATCCCACTTCCTGTCCCTGGCAGGCCACCCCGCGAGAGGCAATCACCCGGAACGGCTCCCCTTTGACGAAGGCCCAAGGTGCATTGCGCCGATTCAAGCGCACCGAAAACCATCTCGCTTCATGCGTGCAGCAGCCCCCCATCGATTCCCAGCCGCCGACGACGACACAGTCTTTGTCGGCTCTGGCGTCCACTCTGAAGAAGTCCCCTTCTTCTTGCGGAATGCGCTCCACCACTTTCATAGAGACGCGGGAGATTTCCTCTCGGATGAAGCACAGGATCAAGTATACTGCTGAAGGAAACTGCACAAAGTGGCCTGGGCTCAAGACAGCACTCCAAGCAAACAGCGGCCCCAGGAAAGGCCGAACATGCTGCAGGGCACCACCAACAAAGGTAAGACGTCCAAGTGCTGCCTTGAGGTCATGACCGAGAACACCTCCTGCATTAGAGTGCTTTCCCAGCCACTCACTGAACCATCGGACTTTCTTGTCGCTGATTCCACGGCTGAAATCTTTGACATTGAGCTGGTACCCAATCCACTGCACCTCACGACCACCGCGAACCTTCTTCCAACTCAGGGGAAACTCGAAAACCTGAAGAGCGAATATCCAAAACAAGATCTTCCGCCAGAAGTACTCTCCCGTCGCATTGAGCCAGCCGTCGTCCGAATACAGCATATGGTACACTGCGAGATCGCGATCCGCTAAGGCATGCAATAGACGTACAGCACCACTAGCAACTCTACTCCACCAGTACGCTGCCGAGCAGACTCCGAAAGTGCCTCGTTTGTGAACAAAGACCTCCTCAGGCTCGTCCAGTGAGAACGCTTGCAAACCCCAATCCTCTGGACGAACTGGCACGAGTCTGTGGGCCATTGCTATGTCATAGACCAGACTAAACCATGAGGGCGAGGCTTTGACAGACTCGAACTCTTCACGCAGCTGTCTTAAGACGGCAGACACGTCGTCTATGAGCGGCGACCGTAGTTGGTCCAAAACCTTAATGCGCCGATTGATGTCAATGGAGTAGGACGCATCGAAGACTACGCGCACCTCGTCGGACCCCGCTCCTTTCGGCACTGCACCCAGGGCTGCAATGGCAAGACGACCAGGAAAACGAGCACGCGCCTCGCTGAGCGACATCCTCTCCACAAGACCCTTGGCCACATCTTCGTAAACTTGCTCGCGGATGGTGGACATGCACTCCTTTGAAGACGCGTAATTCTCCGCAATCTGCTCTGGGGCCATGGCATCTTCTGTAAACTCGCGATTCCATTTGCACTTTTCCTCGAAGACCTCAGGCACCCGCGGCATGGACTTGTCAACACCTAACGACACGCCATGCTCCGCCATAGCAGTGAGGTACGCGAAATCGGGATCCTGCAGCAATTGCAACGCGCCAGCCAAACGTCTAAAGTGAACTTCAGAATGCTGATCGCTTCCACTGCTCAACACGCCCATGCCACAAGACATCAGGAAAGCGTCCACTTCCCCTGCAGTGTCTGCTGCCGCCCCCTCAAAGGGGACGAGGTCAGCTTGCCCCCTGCCATCCGTTAGAAGACATCGGCAACTGCGTCCTTGCTGTTGCTTCCTGCACGGTTCGTTTCCAGCACCCACCGCAGAAAACCTTTGCGAACGATTTCTCGCAAGCGCAGCCACTTCTCGCTGCGCTCCCAACTCCGCCCTGCCACCGGCCAGCGACCGGGCGAGCAAACCCCCATCGTGGATGGACCGCCACCTGCCCTTGTAGAATGTTCGCATGGGCCCTCCACGTGGCTGGAAGAGGGACGCTTGTGCCGGGCCCTGCGATCCAGCAGAGAACTGCGCCTGCACACCCTGACCTTGAGGGCTCTGAGGCTCGGCTCTCCGTTGTACCGACACGCCACGGCCTTCCCGAGCCGGCTCCACCAAAGCCGGCACTGCCGCTGGAGTTCCCTAGTCACTCCGCAGCCTCTTTCTTGCCTGCTGCCTCAGGACAGGCATGCAACGGATGCTTCCCTAGGCATAGTTGGCAAACGTGAGCCCGCTCGCATTTGCCTCTGCATCGCTCGTGCGAGTTGTTGAAGCGAAAGCAGATTTGCACACCGTCCTCAGTGACTGTCTTCAACTTCCCGGCAAACCGGCCGCTTTTGCCTTTGCCGTTGCCTTTGGACCGATGCCGAGCTTCGCGACTGCGGGAGCGATGGCGCCCTTGCCCCAGAGCCGGCACAGGCACGTCCGCCGGAAAGTGGCTTCTTAGCGCACATGGGGTGATGAAGAACCTCTCCTTGATCTCCACGTCTGCAACAGCTTGCTCCAACGCTGACGTTAGCTTCAGCCCAGCATTCATAAGTTTCATCACATTCTTGCGCAGCTGAAAGTCATAGGACAACACAAGGTCAAAGGCAGGCGACGCCACAACTTTGCCCGAGGCATCTTTCGCGTGCAGATTCATCACAAACTCCCCCAGCAAGAAGTCCGCATAATTGCTGAAGTGGTGGGGCGCGATTCCCTGGAGCACCGGCATGTGCGGATAGCGTAAGGAGCACATCACAAAGCAATGAGCCACCACACGCAAACGCAAACGCAATTCTTCTGCAGACGTCGGCAACGGCATCTGCATATGGCCTTTCCGCACTTTGATAGCTCCGGTGCTGCGATCGATGGTAGCGGCGAATGGCTCTTGAGACGCATCGTCTTTAGAAGCGTACTCCCTCAACGATAAGGCAGTGAACTCTCCATTGTCCAACATGTCAAAATGCTGCTCCAAGGTCGCATTGGCCGGCATGAGTTTATCGGGTATCTTGAAGAAGGACTGCTCAAACCGATCACGCAGCTGTGACAACTCTGTACGTGCAACGACTTTCGGCAAGCCCCCGACGACCGCCTCCGCTTCCGCCTTGTGACGAGCTTCAACGCGCACTTGAGCAGAAGACCAAGCATCGACCACGCTGGCCACTTCCACTGCACCATCCGCCACACTTTTCAACCCGAGAACTGTGTTGCAGAACTCGCGGACGCCGCTGCGGTCGTCCGCCACGGCAGCCAACCGTCCGATGGACTTCACTTTCTTGGAAGCTAGCATTGCCTGTGTTTGCACAGACACGTCCTTGCATTGAAGCAAGCCAGCCAACTCCGGATCCAGGGCTTGGATCGCCTGGCGCTGACTTTCCTCGGTGGAAATCTCCGGCATGGCAAGGGCGGCAAGGCAAGCTAAAAGCTAGGCGCACAGAAAATGCTCAAACACGCTCGATCAAGCAAACTGTGCAGGCCACCCGATCACAAGCAGAGCGAGACCGCATGTCGCACATGAAGCGCCGAGACACACAGACACTCGCAATCCAGCACAGCCACTCACCTGAATGGAGCATTCCCTAAACAAAACAAGCCGCACGCAGCCACCTCGGCCACATACGCACTCGCTCGAACCCATCCTGGCCCTTGCCTGCACTCCCTCACAGCCGTCTTTGCTGCAAGCCTTCTCCGTCCCAGGTCACCTAACCCAGGACTCACTAACCTTCGCTTTCAGCACCTGAGGATGAAGAGCTGTCGCTAGATTCACTGCTGGACGACGCGGAAGCGACTGGTTCACCCGACGGGAAGCAATCCCGACACTTGCGCCCATACTCCTCGCGAGCTGGGCAGCGATCACCGAACTGTTTGAAGTGCCGGTAGTGGACGCCAGGCACTCGATGGCATTCGCCGCCCTTGTGCAGCGTCTGTTGGCGCCCATGCTGCCCAGTCAAACTGACGAAGAACAAGCCCAAATGCCAGTCAGCTGCATCCTCAGCATTGTCTTCTGCGTCCAGGCCCGCCGGAGACGCCACTTGTTCCGACTCGTCCGAGAGTTCTTCCTCAGTGGCCGAACCGTCATCCAGCTGTTTGGTGGCAAAGGAAGACAGCAAGGCAACCTGCACGGAAACCGACTCTGGATCAAAACCCAGCTCTTCTAAGCGCGATGCCACCTTGGACAGCACACTAGCTTCGTCCAGAAGATCGCGCCCACCAATTCCACGCCGCAGCACGCGAGCAACTTTCCTTTGAGCAGCCTCCACATTGCCACGCACAGATCTAATGTAAGCTTCGTCCACCGACATCTGCCATCGCCCTAGCTGTTTGCCCGCCAGCTCTCCAACACGACAGCAAGCTGCCCAACTGCGCATAGTAGCACGCTCGGAGTGCTCACTCCAAAGAACTCCCAGCCCAAGTGCCATAAGCTCCCGACCATCCACACCGTCAGTCCGGAGTTCTCGGAACAACGCTTGAGACATGGCCGAAGCATGGTAATACCTTGCCATTCTGGCAGTGCAGCCCTGAAGGCCAGCTGCCGGCCGCAACAAGAAGAAATCACGCGAAGCAGCAGCTGTCTCATCACCCATGGCTTGCCAAAGCTGCCAACCCACGCGGAGCCAGCATGGTTCCACCAGCCAGACTGCAGAAGAAACATAAGCATAAAGCACCGCAATCTTCTTGCCTGCACCTGTGGTTTTAGTGCGCTCCAGGCGAGCACTCAAACCACGCTCGTCCACGACAATTGCCCTTGCCGGCATGCCTTCCGTGTCAGAGTAGCGCAAGCATCCCCAAAGCTTCACCAATTTGAACCAAGCAAAAGCACGAACATAGCGAGGAGCTTGCTCGTTCATCACTAGTCCTTCAAAAGCTTTGACCTGAGAGACCAGCAGTTGGTTGGCCTGGCGGCGGCCGCGTAGATCTTGATTGCCCAAAACCAGTGCCAACTCTTCCATAGTGTTGCGTATGACTGGACAGCGACTGATTTTAGAGTCAAGCGGCACCTCCCCGGCTGACTCCATAAACATCAAGGTCTTCAAGCAGCTGCCGGGAACTGATCGTCCACAAGGCTCGGAAGCCCGGGCCTGCAGATACGCCGCAAAGTGGTCTGCGGAGGGCCAGCTGACGCCAAAAGCGCTTCGAACCCATGCCACGACGCGCTCCCACGTTTTGACATGCTTCCGTAAAGTGGAAGCCCGCCTGCCCTTACCCACGCGACCAGAAATTCCGGCTTCCGCAGCTGGGAGCCCGGACGTGGCGATCAAGCGCTGGAGTTGAGAGAGCCAGCGACAACGTTGCTTGTCCTCCTCTGCTTGGCGAGCCTGGTCCACTGCACTCAAAGACGCCGCACCATGAGACCGTGTAGGCCAATGACCCTGTCGCAGCCGCTTCTGCTTGTTTTCCACAACCGGAGCCCAAGCTGTAAGAAGGCACACCGATCCCGCAGCCAGCGGCAGCGATGCATCGAATCGACGGAACTTCGCCGCAGCGCTAGCCCATTCCACACTGCTCTCCACACGCGCTGACCGAGCCCACCGCGAAGCCGCCAGGTCCGACGCCTGTGCTATGAGTTGCTCGAACTCTTGCAAAACGCAGTCTTCTAGCGAGGCCAACCCCAATTCGCGGAGCAGCAAGGAGCCAAGCTCTGCTGTGCTCAGATCGGAAAGAGTTGCCAGTCTGCACACACTCCAACGCCCTGCCAATGGCTTCAGATGAGGAAAGTCGCCGAGCAAGTCACGCAGCTCCATGAACCTTCAAAAGAAATCCTGCGGCTAACCTACCTTGATCTAGCACTATCTAGCTCTAAGCTCTGGGCAGAGCCGGAGCCACAAGCTGCCACTATACAAATGCTTCGCACACTTATGGTACATTATGACACGAGACGCTTCAGGTGCTGCGCTTCGCTCCGCACTGTCCAGCGCGCACAGCATTCGAGAAGCCGATTATGGCTGCACATGCAGCAAACAAATTCAGTACGCAAAACGCGATGAAAGCTTCCGCACTGCCACAAGCCACGCGCACAAGCAAAGCAAGCCACGACACTGCACACATCACAACGCAGGGCGGGTTGGGTGAGTGCAGAACAGCTCGGCTCACGAGCGATTTCTGCCCAATGAAACGGCTGCAGCGGTGAGTGTACGGTGCACGCGCAAGCTAACGCTATACTCAGGCGAAACTCAGTCCTAACCCTTTTTGTTCATACATTGTTTCCCAAGGAAGCAACAGGAGCGAAAAATGTATTTCATAGGGATTATGGACCTACCAAGAGTTTCAGGTTGAGGACGAAAAAGGCACTGCGGTCTTCTCACATTTCTGTCTTCTCCTGCTGTGACCTCCATGACGACGCCTCCCTGAAAGCTCCACTGTACACTCAAGCTGCAGCAAGTCTTTTCTGAAGTCTACGCTGAGAGTTGCAGCCTCCGCCATGAGGCTTCAGGTCCGGGGCGAACCCCGGCAGGAATGTATTTTCAGAGGGGGAGTGAAATACAATACCCGAATGCTCAGAAACCCACAAGGCAGCCATTCTATGTCTGATCACTCTGATCACTCTCTTTCGCTGCTGAGACACGATGCGTCGCTGTTTATGTAGTGGGCAACTCAGCGAGTTGAAGATGCCTCTCAATCTAGCGCAACACAACCTACCCAAGCCCTGTGCACTACATCTTTTTCGCTGGGACTGTACTGCTCAAGTGCAGAAGCAAACACACACCACACCGCAAGAGGGGGACGGCAGTCCACTTCCCCTGGGTGGGCGGGTGGGAACTTTTTGAAATTCAAGATCAGAACACTTCAGCAGCAGTTGTGGCCACAAGGTCGACCCACGACCAACACTTCTCTAGAGCTCTGCTGCAACTGTACACACAAAGGTATGTGCGCAGATATAATGTCACAGTACGGGCCAGTGACAAAAGGCACCTCTCAATCTAGCGCAACACAACCTACCCAAGCCCTGCGCACTACATCTTTTTCGCTGGGACTGTACTGCTCAAGTGCAGAAGCAAACACACACCACACCGCAAGAGGGGGACGGCAGTCCACTTCCCCTGGGTGGGCGGGTGCGAACTTATTGAAATTCAAGATCAGAACACTTCAGCAGCAGTTGTGGCCACAAGGTCGACCCACGACCAACACTTCTCTAGAGCTCTGCTGCAACTGTACACACAAAGGTATGTGCGCAGATAGAGAGGGTTTATGTCACAGTACGGGCCAGTGACAAAAGGCACCTCTCATGCTCATATGTAGCCAACCCAAATATATCTAAGAACTGGCCAAACCGCAAGCCGCAAGCACATTGTTAACTTTGGCTTTGCGAGAATGCTGGGCAGCAGTATCCTTCAATCCGAATCCGGGCGGGCGGGCGGGGCTGACATGCTCGCAAAGCTAAGCTATGCACAAGAAGCACACGCAAGCCCTTATATTTTGCTGCAGGTGTCGGCAGGTCACTCAGGTCATACTCCTGCACTTGCCACAACAAACACACGAGAGCGTCGCAGTCACGTGAAATAACTGCGCAACACCCACGTCACACTCCTGCGCTTGCCACAGCAAACACACGGGACTCTCTTTTGGCGACAGGCTGCACTGCTTGGTCATTGATTCCGCGCCACCCTCGAGCGCTTCTTGGAGCGAGATATATGCGGCGCAGCGCGGCGCCGGGATCCACCACCCCTCTGGGGCGGGCGGGAGGGCCAATCTTTCTCACAGCGAGAAAGATGACACTTGTGAGAGTGTGACTCTGCCACGCAAGGGTATATGCGGGGGACCCCGCGGTGGTAGGTTGGTCTCGTACTGCCGGTCTTCAAACGCGGGGCACGTGAGAGCACCTGCCACCCCACCGACTTGAACGGAGTGGGCGGGTGCGAAAACTTGCATGTTTGAGCAGCACACAGGCTGCAACTCGACAAAGCAGGCATGCTCGCACCATGTCATTCAGTGCACAAGTGCACACCACTCAAAACTTTGCCCAGCACCCACGGTGGAACAAACTTGGGTGATCGCACAACAAGTGCAATGCACTTGCAAAGCTGAACTCAAGTTGCATGTACAAGTTGCATGTGTAATGCACAAGCTACATTTGCAAGACAGAGACAGGTGCACTGCCCAGCCCAGCCCAAGCCGGTACACTCGACACTTTGCTGGTGCGTAGTGGGTTGCTCAGTGTACGCCCGTTGAAACCCTTGGATCTTCGCTGTTTGCGAACCCTCCGGAAATACATTTCCAGACCGGGGGAATGTGTTTCGGAGAACGTACGGGCCCCCCGAAATTACATCAGTTACGTTCTGTGCACCCACAATCAGTGGTTTCCTTTGGGCTTGCAACTCAGCAATCACTGAGCTCCTCGCCAATAGTGCATTGGTGGTCCCTAAACATGCAGGGCATATGGGATACAAACCTCCCATACGCCAAAGCGGCACACAGTGCCTCTACCGACTCTACCAGGAGTCTACCACAACCGCCACGAAGTCGGTCACCCTGTGAGTAAGATCGGGTCAAGAATCTAGATATAGGGAGAGGAGGGTGGGATGAAAGACACACCCAGCAACTCTGGGTACACCTCACACACTGAGCTCGACAAACCAGAATTCCATTTCGGGCTTGAGCCACAACACGCAACGCATGGCTACACTAGGTGGTGAGGTATGCCTGCACGCCCGTCATCTTGTCACGGTGGCTGAATCATGTCTCTGTCAGCACTCGGCACGACACTATGGACAAAGACCGCTACAGGCAGAACCCTCAACTGCTCATGCAGACATGTCGGCAGGGGTTTTGGTAGCAGACATGAAAACAGCAGGGCCGTCCATGCCCAAGCGATCCGAACCCCCTCGCAGGGAACAAACGTCGATGGGCGCACACACGCGGCACTAACAAGAAACATGCTGAAGTCAACAACGTGCACTGTAGGCGGCCAGGCATTTCTTTTTCACGCGGACGTATCCGTCTCAGGGGTTGAATCAGACTGCCGAAGGAGCAGACAACAGACTGCCGAAGGAGCAAACAACATATCCCATAGGACTCGTCCCATAGGACCAATGGCCCCCGGCATTAAAGATTCCTCACCCAGGGCGGGCGGGTGGGACAAAAACTACAAGCTTGCAACAGCTGCAAGCAATGCTATGGGACGTGCTCCCTACCACCAACCTCGAACCTGTATGTGAAGGCGGGACGAGGAAGAATTCAACAACGGCTCATCTGGAAAGATGGTAGCGAAGCTGACTCACGACCGGTCAAACAATCCCTGCCCGAAACCTATAAAAAGCTACTGATTTATCAACGGCATACCCCTTTGTCATTGGTCGGACAGGCCTGCAATCCCTAGGCAGCAGAAACTCTTCCCCGGGCGGGCGGGTGGGAAAATCAAGAACACTATAGCACAGCAATTGCGCCAGCACCGGAGCTGTGTACTCAACACCGATACACAACATCCAAGCACTGCTGGCATCAACACAACTGTACAGCACTGCATGTACATGTGAGAGACGGGTGTATTGCCAAACCCAGCCGAACCGCTACACCCGACACAAGATCGCACCTACCCTCCGGCCTGTGCCAGCTAACTATCTTAAGCAGAAAAAGGGCGCACCGCAAACTTTTATTCCCCTGGGCGTGGAGGGCGGAGAAAACCGACACAGAACAACACGTTTCTACCCAAGTGCTGCACTGTGCCACTTCGGACACGCGAATTGAGCACACATACAGCTGCTAAAGTGCTGCAGTTCACAACAACGCATTGCGTGGTCGCAAGACGCAGTCTCTCTACTGACAAAGCAAATCAAACGACTAAAAACAAAAGCACATTAGCACATGCCCACAGACGCCAGCCCCCGCTGCACGCAAGGACCTATCACCGTGCTAGACGATCCCACTTTGATGCACGTGCGGGTGCACCCCGCTACACCGCGAACACCTGCACTTTCTTTGCAGGGCTGCGGCGGGTGGGTAATGGTAATGCAAAATGTCCCTATTCTTACTTGGCCAGCCCGGCGCCCAACCCCCTGCTAAGCAGCAGGTGCAACTGTGAGCACGCAACACTGCGAGCAGTCGAGCAATCGCACTGCACCGGCCATCCAAGCGAACAAGCGCAGTTACCTTTGGCTAGCTACAGGGTACGACGATTGTAACATGACACTGAGCTGTCTCGGAGCTCCGCCCACCGCAGGCTGCACTCGACATCTTTCCATGGCACTCTCAGGCTGTTGCACCAGCCACGGCATTCAGCGTGTCTTCAATGTACCGGCATTCGGCCTCGCAGGGGTTGCAGAGCAATTGGATCACAGAAGAATGAAAGCGTCGTCACACTCCTGCACTTGCCACATGTACACTGGACTGTCGATCTTTTTGCGACAGGCTGCACTGCTTTGTCACGCGCGACGAGATTGATGACACTTGTCGCGGAGCAAGCTGTGAGTATGACTGCGCCGCACAAATGTATACGCGGGGGGCCCAGTCCAAATGACGGTACTTCCATGAACAAAAACACGTGCCTTTCAATCTACCTGCAGCTCACGCAGCATCAACCGAATGAGCTCTACGCGCGGAACACTTTTTGCTGGGACTGTACTGCTCAAGCGCAGCAACACGGCACCTTCTAGGTTGCGGGGTCGCTCGCAGCGTGGCAAACAGTAGTACAAACAAACGAGCGAGCTCAGGTACACATGCGGCACTAACAAGAAACATGCTGAAGTCAACAACGTGCACTGCAGGCGGCCAGGCATTTCTTTTTCACGCGGACGTATCCGTCTCAGGG